GTCTCCACTTTCAAATGCCGGAATTACAGGCACACACCACCAAACCTACTTTTTTGTGTGATCCTGGGGATGGAACCGAGGGCTTCATTCCTACTAGGCAAGCACTTACCAAATGACCTACATCCCCATCACCCATGTTTACCTTTACTGAAGGCCTGACCTGTATCGCAGGTGCTGATTTCACCTGTGAGGTAGTAGTGTTGCCATTTTACAGATGAGGAAACTGAGGCAAAGTATGAAGACTAGGTCACACAGCTGGGAATTGGCGGGGCCATCTGGCTCCAAAGCTATCCATCTTCCACCTCCCTACACTACCCCAGCCCCAGTTCCAGGCAGTAAAGGAAGCCAAGTAAAGCAGGACAGCTGAGTCTCTGAGGAGTGTGGGAAGCCTCCAATTAAGGCACCTGTGGCAGCCCCAGGGGCCTAGAATAGGCAACAGGTCCACATGGAGGTGCATGAGCGGCCCTCCATGAGCACCTCCAAGGAACCTCAATCTTTTTAAGGATTTACAGCCATCTATTTTATGGATGCCCAGAATCTCAGATCCCTGGCTATTGGACACACTGGTTACTGCCAGTCTTTTGTTTAGACAAGCAACTCTGTGACAGCTATCTTATACTATGTCCTTTTGCATATGGATGAGTGTAGGAGAAATTGACAAGGCCAGGCTGTAGCAGGTTCCTCACGCAGGACCAGCCCAAACTCACCCCAGAGCAGGTTCCTAAGAGCTGGCTTCCAAGGCACTAGTGAACTTTCTTGTCATGAGGGTATTTTTTTCCTTGGGAGAAGGCAATGCTGGGTGCCAGCATTGGGTGCTAAAGGGACACAACTGGGCTGGGCAGGTTGTTAAGCAAATCAACTTAGTGAGCCAAGCTAGGGAAGCAGACGGGTTCCTGCTGCAAAACCTGGCCCCACCTTTTAAGGAGGCTTGGGGAATCCCAAGGAAATGGGCCTGGCTCTGGACTTAGCCCATGCCCTGCACTTGTGGGCAACCGCCAGAGCATGTGAATCCGATCTTTGCTGGTACTCTACAGAGATGACTAGGCTTTGTTCCCTTCACCAGTTGGGGTCTTTTGGCTCTAGGGACATCCCCTGGTGCTCCCCCTATAGCCGCCAGGCCCAAGCAGAAAAGGGACAAGGGTGGTCAGGGAGATGGCTCAGTGGATAAAAGTATTTGTTGCAAAGCCAGGTGTGGGTGGCCCACGCCTTTATTCCCAGTACTTGGGAGGCAGAGGCAGGCAGATCTCTGTGAGTTCAAAGCCAGCCTGGTCTAGTATAGTGAGTTCCAGGCCAGCTGGGGCTACAGGGAGACCCTGTCTCAAAAAGACCAAAAAAAAGTACTCGCTGCAGAAGTTTGATGACCTGAGTTCAGATGCCCAGAACCCACATAACAGCCAGACACAGTCACAAAAGCATTGTAATCCCAGCACATCTACAGGAAACGGGAAGCAGAAACAGGAGAGTCCCCAGAAGCCTGGGGCCAGCTAGCCTGGCTTACACAGTGGCAAAGAGGCCCTGTCCCAAACAAGGTGGAAAGGTTGTCCTCCGATCTCCACACCGCCACCATGGCATGTGCACACCCACATCCACACACATGAACACACAAACTTACATACTCACACACAGAGAAGGGGAGAAAATAGGCTAAGAACCTAGAGACTGCTCAAGTCTCAGGAGCTAGAGTGCCGTATTCTTCAAATGCTGTGTGTACTATACAACATTCTTAGAGGTAGCATTCAGTATCTTTTGCATTTTGCTTTTAAATTTTTTTGTTTTGTTTTAATTTTTTGATTTTTTTTTTTTTTTTTTTTTTTTTTTTTTTTTTTTTTAATTTTTTTTTTTTTTTTTATATTTTTTTTTTTTTTTTTTTTTTTTTTTTTTTGTCTTTTTGAGACAGGGTTTTAGCCCCAGCTGGCCTGGTACTCACTGTATAAACCAAGTTGGCCTCAAATCACAGAGATCCACTAGTGCTGCCTCCCACGTGCTGGGATTAAAGGTGTGTGCTACCACACCTGGCTGATTTATTTATTTTTATTTATGTATATAAATGTTTTGCCTGCATGTATTTAAGTGAACCCATGTCCTGCAATGCCCACAGAGACCAGAAGAGGGCATCAGATCCCCCCTGGAACTGGAGTTAACAGACAGTTGTTAACCACCATGTGAGTGCTGGGAACTGAGCCTGGGTCCTCTACAAAAGCAGCCAGAGCTCTTAACTGCTGAGCCATCTCTCCAGTCCTGGTTTGGGCTTTTTGATATAGTATCAAAAAGCCTGATCCTTGAAATATAGCCCAAGTTGGCCTTGAACCTACAGCAATCCTGTCTCAGCCTCCCAAGTATACGGTCACAGGTATATGTCATCATGCCCAGTTTCTTTGCTACTCTGTGGGCAGGCACTGCAGGAAGTTTTTCAGCTAATTGATTTAAGAGCTCTTGTGTCTAGGACTAGCAATTTTTCTAAGATAGGGTCTCATGTACCCCAGGCTAGCCTCAAACTCATTATTTAGATTATTTAGCAGTAGATTACGTTGAACTCCTGATCCTCCTATCTACACCTCCCAAGCACTAGGATTACAGGCTGGCTTCACCATACCTGGCCACATAATCAAGCTGTAAGGAAGCAAATAGATCCCTAAACAGACCAGTTTTTCTTGAAACTGAGATTCCAATCTGCCAGAGTCATCATAAGAAAGCCTCTTCTTCCTTACCCCTTAAGGAAAAGGACCTTGAGGAGGCTGAGGTTTGCTCAGTGCTGGAACTCATGCCTAGTTGGCACACCAGAGACCCCAGGGTTCAGTCCTAGTACTAAAGAAAAAAAAGCAACCTGATATTAATGAGGCAGTCACACACACACCCCAAGTGCCCATCTATACTCTTTTTTTTTTTTTTTTTTTTTTTGCGCTCTTTTTGAGACAGGGTCTCCTTATAGCCCCAGCTGTCCTGGAATTCACTATGTAGACCAGGCTGGCCTCGAACTCACAAAGATCTGCCTGCCTCTGCCTCCCAAGTGCTGGTATTTAAGGCGTGCGCTACCACGCCCAGCTCCCCCACTATACTCTCTTACTGATATTTTGAGACAGGGTCTTTGTAGCTCAGGCCTGACCTCAAGCTCATAGTGATCCTCCTGCCTCAACTTTCCCAGCACAGTTCTGACAGGCTTGTACCCCCACACCTGGCTTAGTTAGCTATATTTTTCCTGTTCTGTTTCTTTGTTTGAGACTTCCAAATCCACTCCTTGCTCCCAGCAGGAGGTGCCATTCTGCTGTGGGTAGTGGAGACCACCCTCAAGATCTGCATCAAAATTTGTCTACTGACAAATTGGTCAATTGACACTGATTTCAGACACAAGGTTACAAATGTCCCCCACTCACCTCTGTTCTTGGTGAGTTTTGCTTGACTTGTATACAGGGTAAACTTACTAAACAAAACAGCTCACATGGGCTATGGTGACTCATGAGTAACCCTAGGCACTGAGGAAGGGGAGGAAACAGTCACAGGCCAGCCTTGGCTATATAATTTAAGACCAGCTTGGACTCCATGAGAGGATTAAATGAGTATCTGAGAGGAAAACAGCCATGTGCCTGTTTGGCCTATGTAATAAATGTTAACTGTATCTTTACTATTTATGAAACATGAGTTGCCATTTACTGGTGCATGTCTTTGCTTGCATCACCCCATGTGACCCTAAGCAACTGGAGGAGGCCACTGAGGAGACTGAGGCAGTGGAGGGTGTGATATTTAGGAGGTGAAGTTACTGACTCAGGTCTCCATGCCAGCAAGTGACCCAGGAGTCTTGGATCCAGCACAAGGCCCTAAGAGAACAAGTCAACCAAGGGCTTAGCATGCAGTAGGTGCTTAATAAAGATTAACTTTTCTGTCTTTCCTTCCTCTCTTTGTCCAACAACCAGTTCCTTCAGGACCTGAAGTTGCCTCAGGCAGGTAATAAAAGCTTGAAGGATATCACAGGCCCTGTTCATAGGTAAGAGTAGGGGTAAACCAGTGTGGGGGTGCAGAGCCTGCCCTTTCCCATCCGGCAGCTCCTCCCTTCCCTGTCTTTTCACCTTCCCACTCCTGCACCTGGCCCCTCTGCACACCTGCTTAGTTATTTGGGGATAGGAGCACCCAGCAGGCCCTCCCTCTACCTTACAGGGTGTTGCTCTCAACCCTGAAGAAGGTATTTTATTCACCAAGTAACTGAAGGAAGCCTGGGCCTTAGGGTTTGAGGGAATCAGCAGATCATCCAACAGTGCCCACAGAGTAAGCACAGACCCACACAGGGCCCCACCCCAGCTGCAGACTTGCTTTGAGAAATGACTCAGCCTGCGGTTCCGATGTAATTTTGCATTTTATGGACTAAAGGTGTTTTCAAAACAGCTGTGAATAATGATCCAGAAGCAGGCTATGAACAGAGATTTGGCCCAAAATTTCCCATGCCCTCACTGCCAGCGGGGCCTTGGAAGCTGCAAGAATCTCCCCAGCAAAACCTTCATCATGCCCAGGTAAGCCCAAGGCTGCCTGACTAGGTGCTGGCAAACAACATAGGCCTCAAAGCCAAACGAAGCATCACCCAGGCCACATCTTTAGCTGAGGAAGGAGGCAAGTGACAGCTGGCAGTCTCAGAGACCTAGATGTGTACTCCACGGATGCTGGCCTGGGACCAGGAAGCTGGAGGAAACCAGAGACAGTGTCTTCCCATGTAACCCCCAGCTACTCAGGATGCTGAGGCAGGAGGATGGTTTAAGCACCGGAGTTTGAGGCCAACCTGAGCAACACAGTGAGATCTACTCCCTTAAAAAGGGGAGTGAGGAAGGGCCAGAGAGAACTGGCTGCTCTTGCAGAAAACACAGGTTGAATTCCCAGCACCCACTGCTAGGAATCATCGGTAACTCCAGTTTCGGGGATATGACACCCTCTTCTGGCCTCCTCAGGCATTGCATGACATGGGTGCACGTACATACATGCAGACGTAATATTTAAACACACAAAATAAAAATAATGAGAACCTCATTCTCCATGAGAATGGGCACTGTTTGTCAGTGTCCAGAATTGGTCAATGTGGCTAAATTAAGACAGGTTATGCTTCCATCATAGTAAGTGCATTACAGTGGTGACAATGAGACCTGTAACATTTTGCAAAAATAAATAAATAAAATAAAAATAACAAACATCTTTCTAAAGGGAGCAAGGTTGGGGGGGTGGTCAATCTCAGTGGGAAAGCACTTGTTTAGCATGCATGAGGCTCTGGGATCTATCCCCCACATTGCCCAAAAAAGGAGACAGGGCTGGAGATGTAACTCTGTTGGTACAGTGCTTTCCTTGCATGCACAAAGCCCTGATTTTGATCCCTGATTCCCAGCACTACATAAAATGGTATGGTGGTCTACTGTCCTGTTGGTAATCTCAGCACTTTTGGAGGAGCAGGCAGAAGGATCAGAAGTTCAAGGCCATCCTGATTACAGGAGATCTTGTGTCAAAAAAAAAAAAAAAACAACAACAAAAAAAAATGAGACTCTGCTGGGGAAACTAAATGCAGCATTGTGAAGGTGTTCCTCCTGAAAGACAGCTGCAGCCTCTGCAGTCACTCAGACCTAAAGTTGCAGGAGTGAGGTGGTATATGCATGCCACTCATGCACAGTCATTCATTCAACAGTCCTTCATAACCCCAGCCGAACTTGAACTCACTTTGTAGACCAGGCTGGCCTTGACTCATAGAGATTTGCCTGCCTCTTGCCTCCAGTGCTGGGATTAAAGGCGGGAACCACTATGCCTAGGATATTAAGCTTTTTTTAAGTGGCATACCTCCCACTGCCCATCAGCCTCCCCCAAGATCGCTTGTCCCACCAAATAGCCCCATCATCCTCCCACTTAGGCCCAGAGGAAGAAGTCATCTTTAATTATGAGTTTAGCTTTGCCTCCATACCCCATCCTCCACAAGTCCTATCCAATTTACCTCCAGCCACATCCACCCAATCACCCACATTCAGGCTGCTCACTGCTCACTTGGACGCCACAACAGCCACTAAATGGACTCCTGACCCTTCGACCTTGACCTGTGGAACCCAGTCTGCAAGCTTTAAGGAACTGTTCTTGGCATCCTTCTCACCATTAAAGTCCTCCAGTGGAGCTGTATGTGGTTGGTGATACACCCTTGAAATCTCAGCACTCTCAGAGCTGGCAAGATGGCTCAGCAAGTAAACACTGATGACCTGAGGTTGACTGCTAGGGCCACATGGTGCAAGAAGAGAAGTTTATTTTTAATTTTCTTTCAAAAAATATTTTATTTTTTAATATTTATTATTTTTATTTTATGTGTATGAGTGTATTGCCTGCATGTATGTGAGTGCACTGGTTTCATGCAATGGCATGGAGGTCAGAGGTGTCAGATTCCCCTGGAACTGGAGTTAAGGACAGTTCATAGCTGCCATGTGGGTGCTGGGAATCAAACCCGGGTCCTCTGCAAGAGCAGTCAGTGCTCTTAACTGCTAAGCCATCTCTCCAGCCCCTTATTATTTTTATTTTATGTGTATGAGTATATTGTTTCCCTGTATGTGAGTGCACTGGTTTCATGCAATGGCATGGAGGTCAGAGGTGTCAGATTCCCCTGGAACTGGAGTTAAGGACAGTTCATAGCCGCCATGTGGGTGCTGGGAATCAAACCCGGGTCCTCTGCAAGAGCAGTCAGTGCTCTTAACCTCTGAGCCATCTCTCCAGCCCTGAGAAGTTTATTTTTTTTTAAAAAAAGAAAGAAGAGTCAGGCGTGGTGGCACAATCCCAGTACTCAAGAGGCAGAGGCAGGCAAATCTCTGTGTGTTCAAGGCCAGCCTGGTCTACATAGTGAGTTCCAGGACAGCTGGGGCTACAGGGAGACCCTGTCTCAAAAAGACCAAAAAGAAAGAAAGAAAACTGAACATTTGAGGGACAGAGGCCAGAAAGTTCAGAGCCATCCTCAGCTATGTAGTGAGTACAAGGACAGTCTGGGCTACATGAGACCCTGTCTCAAAACATATTCAAACAGGACCAGCGAGATGGCTCAGCTGGTAAAAGTACTTGCCATGAAAGCCTGGTTACCTGGGTCTGGTTCCTGGAACCCATGTAAAGGTAGAAGGAGATAACCAACTCAACAAAGATGTTCTCTGACCTACACACCCACGCAAATAAAATCTAAAAATAAACACAAAATGAAAAAAACATGGCCCAGGCATGGTGGCACATGCCTTTAGTCAGCACTCAGAAGGCAGAGGCAGAGGCACGGGGATCTCTGTGAGTTCAAGGCCAGCCTGGTCTACATAGTGAGCTCCAGGCCAGCTGGGGCTACAGGGAGACCCTGTCTCAAAAAAACCAACAAGACAAAACAAAACAAAAACAAACAAAAAAGACATGATAATGAAGATTTAAAAAAACAATAGCCCAACAACAACAGAAAAGTTTTGATATCAGGTAGGACCCATTAGAGGATTTCGTTTTTGTTTTGTTTCACTCGTTTGAGACTGAATCTTCAAAAAACATTCCAGGCTTCATATTCGTTATATAGCTAAAGATGACCTTGATCCTGATCCTCCCGAGTGCTACAATTGCAGGCATGTACCTCCATGCCCCATCACATAGTTAAGATATTTAAGCTTTTTAAAGAAATAAAGGCATTCAGGCTATGAAGAAAAGACATGGATGGAGGGACAGACACAGAACCATGCCAACAGGAGAAGTCACCATACCACAGAGGCATCTCCAGCTACGGGGAGAGACGGACTTCTATAAACGTGTTGGGACAAGTGGTTATCCATATGGGAAGAGTAAAATTAGATCCTTACCGACTCCAGATGGGTTCAGGGCTTACATGTGAATAACAAAACTTTAATACACTCAGGAGAAAATACAGGAGAAAATCTTTATGACCTTACAGTAAGAAATAATCTGTTCTAAAAGTAAACTTTAAAATTACAACATCCACAAAAAAATATACACACATTAAGTGTGTAACTTGATAAAATTTTTGCAAAGTAAATCCAGCTGAGTATTCAGCACTTCCCTCAGTCTTGTGATAGGGTCTTGTGATAGGGATGAGTCCCTTCAGGGGGAGGGTGTGGCTCCATGCTAAAGCATGTGCGCACATGCCTAGCATAGCATGTGCAAAGTTTTGAGTTCAATCCCCAGCACCAAAAACAATAAATACCTTGGGAAGTCAGGTGTGGTATACATACATACAATCCCAGCACTAGGGAGCCAGAGGCAGGCAGATCTCTATGAGTTCTTGACCAGGCTGGTCTACATAGTGAGTTCCAGGCCAGCTGGGGCTACAGGGAGACCCTGTCTCAAAAAGACACACACACAAAAAAGAAATCTTAGCTGGATGTGGTGGTACACACTTTTAGTTCCAGCACTTTCGGGAGGCAGAGGCAGGTAGATCTCTGTGAATTCCAAGCCAGCTAGTCTCCATAGAGATCTCCAAGTTAGTTGGGACTATAGGAGACTCTGTCTCAAAAAAATAAAATAAGCCGAGCGTGGTGGTGCATGCCTTTAATCCCAGCCCTTGGGAGGCAGAGGCAGGCGGATCTCTGTGAGTTCAAGGCCAGCCTGGTCTACATAGTGAATTCCAGGACAGCTGGGGCTACAGGGAGACCCTGTCTCAAAAAGACCAAAAAAAAAACAGTTCAAAAATAAATAGAACAAGTCATAAGACATACTTAATAGGAACTGTTGCAAGTGGAGTTATTAAGGCTTAGTTGAGCATCGCCTCGTTATGCGAGGGAGGATAAATATTTCTAGAGCCAATGTATTTCAATGCATTTATTTGAGGGATCATAAACAAATTTCACACATAACACAACGACAGATAAGAGTACCAGTCCCAGGCCAATGCCCGAGTGACATCCGTCTCAGTCGGATGTGGTGACGGTAGTCTCGGCTCAGCTTCGTTGTCTCGCAGTCGAGGGTCAAGTCAGGTTCGGATGTTCGCGACATGAAGTTCCTCTCGCTCTCACGGTCCAGAGATGGGATCAGTCAGAAGATGGGGCCGCACAGCTGACGGGAGTTCAGCTCATATGTGCGCCCCCGAACTGATTTTTCTCTGGGTTTTTATAGTCCTTGTGCATGACTTGGCGAACATGTGTTTATCAGTTGCTTACGTCATTTGGCTAATCACACAGTTACTCTCAGGTTGCTAGGTTACATTCTAGGGATACTAAGTTATACTCTTATCTTTAATGTACACATTGGATTTGTTTACATACTTTCGCTAGAGTTGTTTTTGATTCTTGGTTTCTTAATTCTAATACATTCAATATAATTCTTAAATTCTTAATTCTCTATTCTAATATATTCAGTACAGGAACAAATGAATGAAAGAATAGAATATTAAGTAAAAATTGCCAGGTGTGGTGGCACACACCTTTAGTCCCAGTACTCAGGAATCAGAGGAAGGTAGATCTCTGCGAGTTCGAGGCCAGCCTGGTCTACATAGTGAGTTCCAGGACAGCTGGGGCTACAGGGAGACCCTGCCTCAAAAAGACCAAAAAAAAAAAAAAAAAAAAAAAAAGCCACAATATGGAAGAAATATTTGCAATATATCTAACTAGCAAGAGAATAGACATATAACACACACACACACACACACACACACACAGTTCCTAAAAATCAAGAAGACAGGCTATAGTTAGATATGGAGCACAGGTTTAGCTTGCATGAGGTCCCAGGTTTAATCCCCAGCACTAAAACAACAAACAAAAAGTAAAAATGAATTCTCAATAAGATATACAAAGCAGGATGTGTGCAGGGTAGGACCTGTGGCTCTGGTGGAGAGGTGGGAACTAATTCAGGGCCTTTAGGGAAGAGAGCTTTCCTCCCCAGGGGTTCACCCTAGAGAAAGGAGACTCAGGCTAGGCCTTGAGCCCTGGGGAAAATTTATGCAGGAAGAAAAAGAAAGCTTCATTTTGTTTTTTATCTCATTTATTTTTGTAAAAAATATTTTATTTATTTATGCCGGGCGTGGTGGCGCACACCTTTAATCCCAGCACTTGGGAGGCAGAGGCAGGCAGATCTCTGTGAGTTCAAGGCCAGCCTGGTCTACATAGTGAGTTTCAGGTCAGCTGAGGCTACAGGGAGACCCTGTCTTAAAAAGACCAAAAAATATATATA